CCCCCCAGACCTCCCCCCAAAAGACCCAGACGGAGCAGACCCGGATCTTCCCCGACCCCCGCAGCTGCGGCACTTGATCGAAAAAGGTCTCTACCAAGGGCCACTCCCCTTGGGGGATAAGGTCTTGGTGATCCCCATAAGAATAAACCTTGGCTTGGGAGCACCGCTACCATTACCTCGGGTTGCTTTCTGGGCGATTATCGGCGGCGCTGCGTTACGGACCGCTCGCACCTTGGTCCCCCGCTGGGGACCGGCCGGCACGGCCCGGCCTGCTCTTCTCGCGACACGTCAGGACGGTGCCTTCGTCATCTAACATGGCCTCTGAACTGACCGATTGCACGCCACATGGCGTGTTATCGTTGGACCTCTTGGGAGGGCAAGGTCAGTAAGGAGGGGAGTTACTAGGTGTGCGTAGGGGTGAGTGATGTGGGGTGAAATACACATAGGGGTGAGAACTGAGTGGTGGTTGGTGATGGCGCGTTCGCGGGAACTAGGAGTTCGTGCGTGGCTTGCTACTGTTCAAGTGGGCAGTGAGTGTGTAAGCCAGGTGGTGGCGAAGCTGATATCGGCTGCTGCTCCAAGGAAAGTACCGTCAATCTTGTGGATCCACAGTATGCGGCAGTGTTTGTTGGAGGTTAAATGGGGTTTGGAGGAGGCCCCCCCCCCCCCCACCTAGATGCTATTACAGGCTCTCCACGACTGGACGACTTGATGCGGCACTACTACGACGAGCTTGAGGAGCAAGGTCTTTGCGCTACGCTGGAGGACCGCTACTATGATGACGATGACAACACCACGGAAGACGCCAACAGCATCAACCCCAACATCGACTGCAAAGACAATGACAATCTCACCTGTTTCACCGCCGATCTCAACAACAACAACAACAATGACGACAACAACGATTGTGGTGATAACAACCATGACAGCAACGACAACAACAACATCAGCAACGACGACAAAAATAACAACATCAACAACAACAATAATAACGGCGACGATTGTGATCTTCGTTATGATGGCGATGACTTGCGCATCCAAGTCATTCAGGTTGTCGCCACCGATAATAACGACCAATTTGCCGGTTGTGATGTCAACATTTACAACAGCGATTCGGATGGGAGTGGTCGCTGGGTGCAGCGGGCTCCTTGCACGATTTTTGTCATATTCAGTGGAGGTTGGCCTTTTGGGGAGGGGATCACTCTCTGCATGTTCATGAGCTGTTCGTGTCGGCGAGGTAGCATTTGCTCCTTCAGTGGGATCCGGGTGGGAGGGTCGCAGGGTAGGACAACGGCCTCACTTACCCATCTGTGCTATCTAGAGGGGGGCGCTATAATTGGCATATCATCTGACTTGACTGCCTTCTCTGATTTAGTATCTCAAGAGCTATCCAGGGTAGGTAATGACTTTGTAATGATTTTGGGATCCGCTATAATTGACTTTCTAACTTTTTAACTTCCTATTGTGAATGTATCTCCTCATCATGGTGCTGCAAGGGTTTTTTGGCATTTGATGAGGGTTTCAGAGTAGGGATTTGATTTGGATTATGATGCGCAGTTAATCCCCTCAATTGAGGGCAATCAATGATGCTCATCAGTCAATGGAGTGTGCCTACGTGTCGCTTTAGGTGACCACTCATGTTTTTAGTACGATGGATACATGGCATGTTAATGTGAGCCCTGTTTGTTTACAGACCACTCAATTCTAAATGTCAAGGGACGCTGGACCCGGTTTCCAGCAGGTGTTGCTCCCCACCAATAGATGGAGCCTCCCCGAGTATGCTAGCGGTGTCTGCTCTTATCAGCACCCCTAGCATTTWCTCGGGTTKTTTTCCCAAAAAAAAAAAAAAAAAAAAAAAAAAAAACTCCGGTGGGAAGTGGGTCTCTCCCCAGTGGAAGAGAATGATTATTCTCTCTGTAGAGGGGGGGCTCACGTTGCACGGCTGGAGACTGCAACAGGACGCGGAACGACAGCACAATTTTAGGCTAAAGGACGCGAAGGAATTTATCACAACGCACTATGAGGCGGGAACAAAAGCCATGATACGAGTAGGATCGAGCTCATGCAAAATTGCAGACAACGATTTGTATATCCTCTTTGATGAAAAAAAGGAGGCAGAATTGACTTGGATATCACACAATGCATTATTAGAACTGCAACACCTCAAAATCAAGCCAAGTCACATCTGGCCCGACACAGAGATCACCACCGCTCTGTGCTCCATAGCCCAAAAGAATATCATTAATGAAGGGGTAGCATGGGATCACCATACGTGGCATTACCTATAGGACTGGTAAAGGGGGCACAAAGTCGAAATGGGCACGGAATAGGTTAAAGCGTTATATGACCAAACAAAGCCTGGCGCAGCACCAACAGAAAAATTCCCACGCGAAATGAAAGGTAAAAAAACATTCCATAAAAAAAAAAAAATCCTTCATATTTATAAATTATCATTCCAATGTTCGTCAAATTCTAAAATTTTCAATTTTATTTGATAAGTTTCCGTCTAAATATGAGTTTTCCCTTCCAACTACATCTATTTGTTCAAGATGGAATGAAAGTCTGGACGAGTTTATGAAATGTTTTAATTAAACTTTCATTCTATTACAAGAAATATCTTCTAATTTAGATTGGATTAACCTATTTATGATTGAAAATCCTTACTTAGAATGACAGTCCAATTAAAATATTTCATGAACTCGTCCACACTTTCATTCCATCTCTAGCATGCAGTTCAAATACGAAGGGATACCCCATTCTTGGAAGGAAAGTTTTCAAGTAAGACGGAAAATTTTAAAATTGGAATGACATTTTTTAAGATGGAATGAAAATTTAAAATTTAGAATGTAATTTCACTATAGAATGGTTATTTAATTTTGGGAAATTTTTTCGTTGACCCTCTGCAACACGGATCTGGATCTCAGGTCCATTAACGTTAACGGTCTCGCCACACTCTGTCTAGACAAGTCCCAAGCCATACGTGACCTTCTCCAGGGGGTGGAAGGACAATGTTGGTCAGATGTGGTTTGTATCCAGGAAACACACCTGACAGACTCCCCCAAACACAACAGAATACACAAGGCGGTCTAGTCACACCAGGCCTATAGGGCACATGCACCACGACCAGCAAGTGCGGGAACAACAATATGGATCCCCCCAAACTCCCGACTAGAAGTGCTACACTGGGAAAAAGACATGGAGGAGGGTCGTTGGGTCTCACTGTTGGGAGCGCTTGAATTAGAAATAGTATGCGTCTTCTGTATTTATGCCCCGAATACCGCAGCAGAACGCAAGGAATTCTTCCGAACGATTCAAGCTAAAATTCTGCAAGGCATTCATGTCATCCTCGCTGGAGATTTTAACGCAGCACCGGACCGTTGGTTAGATCGTTGGCAGGTCCTTCCATCCACCATACGACAGGCGGAGGAAGATGAGGGCATAATCTACCGATTGTGCAACTCTCTTTCCTTCTTTGACACTTACCGCCGCTTCTTTTCAACAAAGCAGAGCTTCACATGTATCCGAAACAATGATCCGACCAGACTTTCCAAATATAGGATCGATCTGATTCTCATCTCGAAGGATTTGTCGGACAGTCTAACATTAGTTATAATTCTCCCATTTAGTCCTTACCCTGGGCTGGACCATAAGATGTGCATGATAACATTGACTTTTCGTAAGCGGTCGGACCAAGGCCCGGGCTTCTACAAACTAAGCACCTCTTTGCTCCGACTCAAATCATTTCAGCAGTACTTGACCCAGGTCTGGGCATGTTGGAAAGAACGCTACTCAGAGGTAGATGTCTTTCTCACATAGTTTAATAATGACCTATATTTCTTAGCTAAAAAATGTAACGAGTACTCTAAACAACAGGCTAAACAGCGAAACCGGCACGAAATAGACCTGCTAAATCAACTCCAGGAACTCGAAGAACAGCAGCCAACATTACAAGACCCGAAACACTACGTACAGGCCATTCAGGAAATAAAAACCAATTACTTCAGCAAGCCCAGTATCGATGGCAGGGAGCTAGAATTTGAGGCAAACTTTCTCACTATATCACCGAAGGTTCAATGGACACAAAATTTTTAAGCCTTGCCCGCGCCAGAGCTAAGCGCACTGTCGTGGAAGCACTATATGGACCAGGGGGGCCTGAAAACCAACCTATTATCACAACTGCAGGATGCATTAAAATTGCATAAGACTTTTTTAAGGATCTCTTTGCTACTCATATCCCTCCTACTGACGATGAGTCCCGTCAGAAACAGGTTGAGGATTTTCTTCAACCTATCGACAGAGCCCTCTCTCCTGAACAGAAGGAGCGGCTCGAAGCTCCCCTGACCAAGGAAGAGATATGGACAGCCCTCCTACAGATGGATGAGGAAAAAAAACCTAGATTGGATGGCCTGCCGAAGGAATTTTGGGAAACAATGTGGGACTGTATGAACCATGATCTAATGGAATATTACAATGAGGTCGAGTGCACAGGGGACATGGGGGAGTTAATCGGCCAAGGGGTACTATCCCTCTTGTACAAAAAAGGGGACAAGTTCAATATACGAAATTATAAACCCATTACCCTCTTGACCATCACCTATAAAATGCTGGCCAAGGCTTTGGCGAATAGGATGATCCCAGTCCTAGAGATGGTGATCCACCCATCACAGACACGGTTCATACATCACAGACAAATTCACGAAAATATCCTACTGGTCAACGAGGTGCTTCAGTTGTCCCGACAATCTAAACAAAATGCAGCCCTCATATTTATCGACTTTGAGAAGGCCTACAATCATGTGGACTAGTTCTTTCTAGACAAACACCTGGAAAAAATGAATTTTGGGCCGGTCTTCCGTAGGTGGATACGCATCCTGCACCACAATTCCACCACGAGGGTGCAAATAAACAGGACCTTGGGCCCCCCTATTAAGTTAGAGCGGTCGGTACGTCAGGGCGACCCTATAGCACCCTTTCTCTTTCTCATTATTGTGGAAGCCTTATCGACCAATCTCCGGGTTAATAAGAACATTAAAAAAATTCAGATTACGAGAATCCCGGAGGACGCGGTCCCGATATGCTCGTTGTTTGCAAATGACCTCACCATCATAGTGGATGTCACTCAGGAGAACATGATGGAGGTTCAATGTCTAAGGAATAGGTTCGCCCAAGCTTCTGACATGGTGGTGAATTGGTGGAGTAAAACCCAAGGGTGGTGGATCCACTATCAAGGTGGCCAACTACCGGACTCTCCCAACATACATTGGATCTCCTTGCAGGCTCCCGTTCGAGTTCTAGGAGTATCATTGACTGCCTTGGGTCGCCCTCACTCAAATGACGACTAGATCTCAGCCCCATCCCTAGCCAAGTTGTCTGACTGGCGTAACAAGCATACCTCCATCTTTGGTCGGGCGTTGGCTATTAACAATGCAGTGTTTGCAACGTTGTGGTATAAGTCGGTGCTCTGGCCCTTGAGCAAGACTGCTTTTCAAGCGCTTAGATCCAGAGTGGCGGCCTTCCTACGGAGAGGAGACGATGAACTGGCCAACGTCATCAGCAGGGTAGCATGGGAGTCAGTCATACAACCAAAAAGAGCGGGGGGCCTGAGCATCATTGATCCCACAACAAAAGTCCAGGCCCTCCGTCTTAAATGGTTGAAGACGTGGGCCCTTGGCAGATCCTGGTCGTGGAACACATCGCCCGATTGGCCCCACTAGCCCCACTAGAGGTGAGCCCGCTCACATGGTTAGAGGACCGCTACTGGTCGATCCCGAGCAAGATCCAGGGCCAAACAGTAGACCAGTTTGACCATCATTGCTGAAAAGTTGGCGCAGGTTCCCCCTTCCCGAAAAATAGGCACCAGAGCGTTGGGAGGAAGTAAGTTGGCAACCACTGTTTGGAAACCGGTGGATTACCTCCCATCATGGGCAGATCTTGAACAGTTCAACAGCCCCCTAGAAGGGATGGGTGAAAAATAGGGTACTTTGGGTTGAGCATATATGGGATCAGGAGAGAAAAGATTGGAAAACAGCATCCCAGCTGCAAGATACCCTCAGGTACTGCCGCCATACGGAGCAATACTTGGAAATGATCATCGAAGCAATCCCTCTGGCTTGGTACAGGGTGCTAAAAAAAGGCCCCACCCTGGAGGAAGGAGACTGGGTCGCTCTTTCAGGCGATGTCACACGGATAGGTCAGATCCACTGGGTACGACCATCGGATGTTTTGGTGGAATATTTCACAATCAGGCCAAGGGGGAAGCTTCGAGGCTCTCGCAATCCTTTCGAGTGGCGGGAGAAAAAACAGCGATTTCGTAAGAACGGACATTTTTTATTTTTTATACGAAATTGGAAATCCAAACTGCAGCCAAAATTTGATGAAATTTTGGGTAGGGCGTT